AGGATGACAAAAGTACATAACGGGCAGCAGAGTTTGCAGCATCGCAGGTAGTCACCCCTTTATTAAAAATGTTTTAAATTGGTATTTGATAACACAGCTAAATATTACACTAAACCAATACCTTACTAAATTCAACATAGGAAGCAATCATACTTTTTAACTCTATATATTTATACTATACCAAATATGAAATTCCATGCTATGAAAAATTAGAAATAAAAACAGAACTGCCAATATTGTATTGTCCTTGTGTAAATATATGGCGAGTCTGCATCTGAAATATTGTTTAGTTCTGGTAACTGTACTTGAAAAATATAACACAGCTTTAAAAAAAAGCAAAAGCATAATATAGCAAACAAAATTATCAAGGATATGAAACATCTATATAAGAAAAGTCTACAATATTTGAGATACTTTAGTTTAAAAAGTGTGATGAGATATGACTGAAGCATATAAAATTATGCATAGAACTCAGAGAAGAACAAATAATGTTATTCTACATTAACCTGAGACAGAATTGCGAAGTTGAATACATTAAACAAAAACTCAAGAAAAAAGTACCTTATCCCACAGGAATATGTGTAGAAACATTACAAAGGAAAAACAAATGTACAACAAATGCCAATACAACCAGATTATGCTTTGATATGTTTATGTACTACTGCAACCAAAATCATATTATGGAATCAAATTAACAGTATAATGTCTGCAAATTGACAATACTCAAGCAGAAAGAATGACACTATCTTTCTTCCCCATGCCTGCATCATTAAGCAGAGCCCAAGAATAACACCAGGACAAGTTGTACAAGTAACACATCTAAGTTTCTATGTCAGGGAAGCTAATTCTCCAAACTGTTTTGCTGTGACTGTAGTCATACTAGCAGCAATCATTTTCAGTTCCAGTTGTTATCAGCAATTTGATGTTCTCCAAATGAGTTATGATTACAACTACCATCAATCCAAAGCAGCTAACAGCTGAAGTGATGGAATTACAATCCAACACAAATTCAGAGCAACAGATTGGAGGCTATGTTAATATTGCTATTCCAACCGCTCTATTTTTCAATTTATAGTAATTCCAAATCCAACCTTACTTCTCAACACCTGGCTTCTTCAAAATTCTGAGTGGATTACAGGTAGTCCTCAACCTACGGCCACAATGGAGCCCAAAATTTATGTTGCCAAGTTAGAAATTAGTTAAGCGAGTTTTGCCTCATTTTACGACTTTTCTTGCCACCTTTGTTCAGTGAATCACTGCAATTAGTGCAATTCGTACCCCGGTTGTTAAGTGAATCTAGCTTCCCCCATCAACTTTGCTTCTCAGAAGACTGCAAAAGTTGATCCCAGGACACTGCAACCGTCATAAACGTGAGTCAACTATCAAGCATTTGAATGTAAATCATGTGATACATGGGGATGCTGCAAAGGTTATTAAGGGTGAAAAACAGTCAATAGTCCCACTTTTTTCAGTACTGTTGTAACTTTGGTCATTAAGCGGACTGTTGTAAGTCGAGGACTACCTGTATAAACCGATGTCTGTCTCTTCCTCCTCCATAAAGCCCCGCATCCCTTTCCTTTCCTAAACCTCCTGACCGCCCCCACAACATACAATCTTCGGTTCCCCTAACCTGCCTATCCAACCCTACTTTCCCCTTCTCCCCTTCTCCTTGGATTCTCCGGGTCTCACTTAGGAAAGCGGGCGCGGGAGGACGGCAGTCCGAACCTGTCCCCGTAATCCGGATCGGAGGAGCTGCTGGTGAGGCTCTCGGCAGACTCGGTGCGGAGCAAGCGATGACCCGAGGCAGAGCCTTTCCTGGGGTGCTTCTTTTTGAGCCGGCCGCCTCCGCCGGTGCCGCTTCCCCGGTCGCCGTTTCCACCGCCGAGGCCTATGAGCGCGTTTAGCTCCTTGCGCTTTTTCATCCTCTTCTGCTGAGCCGGGGCGAGGCTCTGGAGAGCCGGGCTCCGCAACGCAGGAGGGGCGCCTAACTCGGGGCCCCGGCTCGCCAGCTTCAGCGTTTCCGACGTTCACCGCCCAGACGGGCGTCTCAAGATGGCCGGGCCGGATCTCTTAGGCTTCGGCGATGCCGTTTTGCCCGGTTCTTCTTCCCGCCGGCTTTAGCTGTCGCCGCAGGAGCCCCAGCCATGGCCGTGGGAAGAGCATCGCTTCCTCCTGCTCCTCGCCGACCAAAGGATTGGAACCATTAGTTGCTAGCACCGGAGACACCGATTGGAGGGTTTTGCTCGTGGGCAAGGACCTACCAGTATCGCCTCCTCCTATTGGATAAAACGATTGTTTTTCTTAGCACTGCCTACTTTCCTATTGGGCTATGTTAGCCCTTTTTTTTCATTGGCTAGTGACATTTACATCCGTGGAACCGGTTAATACCCGCCCACAGCGAGGAATGTACATAAATTAACCAATTAAAGGGGCAAGGACTAATAGAGAGATAAATGGGATACATTAGATTAGAATGACACTTCACTTGCAAACGTGATTGAATAGATCAAAAAGACATTAAGAGTTGTCAACCTTATTTTATTAATTTTTTTCTCTGGTAATACTATACTGCTAACTAGGGCATACAAAATCTTTGCTAGACCAATCCTTGAATACTGCTCACCTGCCTGGAATCCATACTGTATATTGCACATTAATACAATAGAGAGGGTACAGAGCAGTGGTGGATTTCAAATTTTTTTAGAACCTCTTCTGTAGGTGTGGCCTGCTTTGTGGGAGTGGCTTGCCAACCATGTGACCAGGTGGGAGTGGCCAACTTGGAAAATGTGGTGAAACTCACTTAACAACGCTCTTGCTTAGCAACCAAAATGTTGGCTCAGAAACTCTGGCATCTGGCATCCCAGAATTCCTCCTCCAGTCATGTTGGCTCAGGAACTCTGGCACTGAAGTACGCAAGTCTTAAAGCTGTCAAGTTACAAGACTCTTGCACCCCTAACCCTTTAGAAAAAAACCCCCAGGGGTGTTCAAACTTGACAGCTTTAAGACTTGTGGACTTCAACTCCCAGAATTCCTCTTCTCGCTCTTCATCTTGATGATGTGTGGACAGGCGGTGGGAGAGAGGGAGCTGGAACCGGTTCTAAACGGCACTGTAGATTTGTGGAATCTTTTCTATAGAAGAGGTTAGAACTGGCAGGAACCCACCCCTGGTCCAGTGGTATTTCACAAGAAGAGTACTTAACTCATCTGCTTGCAATAAAATACCGTATGCTACCAGGCTTGAAATTTTAGGCCTGGACAACTGCAAACTACGCCACCTATGTTCTATGTTCTAAGCATAGTACACAAAATTATCTGCTATAACATCCTACCTGTAAACAACTAAGTACTTCAGCTTCAACCGCAATAATACACAGGCAAACAATAGATACAAACTCAAAATAAACTGCTCCAAACTCTATTGCAGAAAATACAACTTCAGCAATAGAGGAGCCAATGCCTGGAACACTCTACTTGATTCTGTTGTTAGTTCCTCAAACTCCCATATCTTTAACCTTAAAACTGTCCACTATGGACCTCGCACATTTCCTAAGAGGTCCCTAAGCGGGCATGCATAAGTGCACCACTGTGCCTACCGTCCCTATCCTACTGTTCCCTTTGATATGTACTCATTTTGTGTTCATGGCCATGTTATACTTATTTATGTCCATCTATTTGTACCAATCTCATGCAAAAAATGCCCATGTCTATACCAAACCTGTTACCTTGTACATGTTGACAAATAAAAAAATAAAAATAAATAAATAAATGTCATTAATTACTTAGGGTGGAAAAAAAGACATGCTGACTAGTGGGAAGAAAAAAGTCAAAACAGCATAGAGAAAATTGCCCCCCCCCTCAAAAGACCTTACAATGTAGTTGCAAACTTCTAAATTCACCCAAACTCTCCAGTCAGGATGGTTGGAAATTCAGAAAAGGGAATGTGAGGATAATGTGGCTTTTTAAATTACTGCATCAAAGTGTGTAAACTGATGGGAATGTACCGTAGTTCAAACATCAGCCACATTTTGCCACCTCCTTTCCCCATTCCCTTTTGTAACAACTTGTTAGTTGAAGTTTTGGAAAATGTTGACTTTGGAAGTTTTGGAAAATGTGTATTGCCTTAATAAAGCTGTGGTTTCTACAATTAATCTCAAAACTCTGACAGGAATTAGAGTTAATTAGTACTCAGGAGATTACAAGGAAATTATTCTACAAAGCACAAGAGGGAAGGATAAGAAACAATGATTGGAAAGTAATCAAAAGAGAAGCACACATTCTTTATTGTTGCCCTTTTATTTGGTGTAAAAAAATAATCATACTTATTTTAATTATCACAACAAAATACCACAACAAAATATTTCTTATTCTTCTAACCTTAGCAGACATATTAGAGATAACCTCCAAGAGAGCAGGTAACTTTTGCTCTCTTGTTAAGGCTATTCATTGTCATACTTGTTTTTTGTTTGCCTGTCACTAGTGTTTAAATCTAATGTTCAAAACAGTTTTCCCACTGGTAGTTGCACATTACAGAGGTATAAATTCACAAAGGAAACTATTACCTAATATTTGATAACCTCGATCCTAACCCATTTGCTGGGAGATTGGGTGGAAGCATGAAACAGTGAAGTAAGTGTATTGGTGAGTGAAACCTGCTGGCAGGCAAAAAGAAATTGAATAAACAAAAAGGGAAAAAGAGCTGCTGTTTCATCATGGTGAGTAATACATATTAACAAAACTTCAAAGTACTGCTTTATAGACTTGTTTAGGGACAGCCGTCATAGCCTTGAGAGACCAAAGGGTGGGTGAAAGGATGCAGAAGTAAGTGGCTCTACCGTGTTTGCTTTGAAGACGGGTTCAATAGGACGCAATTCTCCCTGCGGCTTCCCCTCTCTACTTGCTATTACAAAGACACCCCTCTGCACGGAAGGTGCGCCCCGAGCTTTTCTTTCGTAAGCCTGTTAGAGGCCGAAACGTGCCTCTCCCCACCACATTCCAGCTCCGTTGACTTTCGAGGAAGCACCGCCTGCCGCTTCGGATGCTCTTTCTCTCCTTTGCCAACTCTCCATTGAGGCAATAAAGAGTCAACAACGAGCATCGCTCCTCGTAGCTTTCTCTCCTTGGGAAAAGCCATTTTGTCTCTCGGACGGGCAGCCCTTCCTCCCGACCCTGAGTTACCCCTTTACTTTGAGATGGATCTTTCGCGGGTTTGGCACCTGGTTGCTGTGTTTTGCTTGACCTACGTGCTGATCAAAATCATCCGGCTGCATCGCCGAAGACAGGCGCTGCTGAAAGCTTTGGATAGTTTTGCGGGTCCCCCTTCCCATTGGTTTTACGGTCATCTCCTTGAGGTAAGGGCTGAGTGGAAGGCTGGGGTGGGTGGGTGTTGTTCCCTTTTGTGTGTGCGCGCGCGCGTGAGTGTGAATGTGAGTGTGTGAGAGAGGGTGGGGAGAGAGAGATATGAAAATTTGTAGTACTTCTATCTTATTACAGGTGGGTCCTCAACTTCCCTGGCGGATGAAGGCTCACTAGTGCCCTAAGCACTGACAAATCTTGGTGCCCCTCTTATTTGTACATATCGTACAAATCTTCATTGGGTTGTTTTTCTTTCTCAACTTTATGGAGCCCCCTTTGGGCCTGGTGCTCTAATCATGTGCTTAGTCTGCTTAATGGTTAATAAACCCCAAGGACACTGGGGAAAAAAGTGACTTACCACTGTTTTTCACACTTTGTTGCAGCATCTCCATGGTCACGTGATCAAAATTTGGACACTTGGCAATGGACTCATATTTATGACAGTTGCAGTGTCCTGGGGGTCACGTGATCACCTTTTGCAACCTTCTTATAAGCAAAATCAATGGGGAAGCCAGGTTCAATTAACAATTGCATTATTGGTTTAACAACTGCAGTGATTCACCTAACTGTGGCAAGAAAGCTTGTAAAATGGGGCAAATTCACTTAACAAATGTTTCATTTAACAACAGAAATTTTGGGCTCAATTATGGTCGTAAATCAAGGATTATCTGCATAAGCAGGAGCATGACAGAGTTTCTTGACCAATTCAAGTGGAGGACTAGGGATGTCTTAGGGGCTGAAGTTTAGGTATTATAAATCTCATATTGCTCATATTGTCTAACAAGAACATGATTTATTAAACTTCTGTGCTGTTTGTTCCTAGTGTCACTGATGGCATGGGTTTTGCAGTACTTAATTTAATGAGAAAGGGAATTGGAAAAGTAAGGGTGGCTATTGATTAGAGCTAACACAAAAGTGGATAAAGATTGTACAAAGATACGGCCTACAATTAACCCACAGTCATGGTCCCAAACGGGTCATGGAAGGCAATGCCCAACTGTCAGATAAGAAAGGAAGCATTCCCAAGCACTCTTGATGGGCCAGTTGAAGGTGAGCAGTTGCTGAGCAGGCATCCTCAGCTATGTCTCCATGATGCCTATAGATTGTCCCTATAGGAAAGTATATGTAGAAGGAAATTCTACCTGCAAATCAGGACAACAAAAGACATTTACAGGCAGCCTCTGTAGGGTGTTGGGGTGAGATGGAGGTGATATTTTGAGATCATGTCGTTAAAAACAGTTAGTAATGCCAGGGAAGGTAGGACTTGAATCCTTTCTCATTATTATGCACATAGATTTATGTGCATATTAAGTTTTCTAGAGAGGGAGGTGTAGTAAATAGGAAGTGCTCTATATTGTTAATGTTGTTTTTTTCCTTCTTAATATAATTTATGGTTCATGTTCCTTGTGCAGTTGCACAATATGCAACCAAGGTTTGCATGGCTATATTGCCTGGTTGACAGAACTTTCAGTTAATGTTATATGCAAGTTAGAAGTTCATCATACAAATCAGTTTTGAATCATAATACTCCCTGAATGACGTTGTGTCCATTAACTGCTACCTACCGGTAACATCTTTTCTGGGTTCCACCACAAAACCGCGGTAGACTAAAGCGCGCTCGACGAAAGCGTGTACGTGACGTCATCACAGCGCGACGAAAACAGCACGCTGTGAGCGGTAAAGTTAAAATTAACGCGTAAACCTAAACCTAACCCCCCCCAAACCTAACCCTAAACCTAACCCTAAACCTAACCCTTACCCTAACCCTTAACCTAACCCTAACCCTAACCCTTAACCTAATGCTAAACCTAACGCTAACCCTTAACCTAACCCTAACCCTAACCCTTAAATTAAATTAAATT